ATCTGTATTGAATTTCACCTGATGTACTTTACTTCCAGGAATTGACGTTTTATTTTTAGCATCTCAGGAAATCACAAATTTCAACATCCTGCCTTTTCATGGTGACTGTATTGTCCTGCACAATATGTAGGTCGTGACCTTTGCCAGTTGCTTTATTCGTGAACTAACAGCATGCTTCCCTCAGCAGTCTGTATTTATCTCATTGTGGCCTATCATTTTATTCTAGCGAGCTAGTCCCATACCGGATTCCGCTAATTCGTCGCCGCTTACCCTACCTCGTCAAGATAGTTCCTCATCTATATCGTCCATGACGTTCACCACATCGGCTGCACACATCGGGAGTTCGCGTGGTCCAAGCCCGTTGACGTTAGGCATGTCTGATACGATTCCTATAGCTGCTGCATTTACAGAGTGTGTGAATGCTTACTTCAAAGGAATTGACCAAACAAAGTAAGCTTTGATTTATTTAATATTGGCTTACCCTTGATTTAGTTACATGGTGCTTTGTTTATGACTGCCATTGTTAATATCCACATAAGAAATGTCTGCATTCTCCTGGGATATGTCAAGCATGAATACCATGTAAACAATGTACAGACGTATATTTATGAGGGGGTGTATCTAGCAGTAAATTCACGTGGTGGCAAGGTACAGTTAGTAACTCTTTGTTTTTGGCAGTTTATGTACTTGTACCAATGTACTTCAAGTCTTGATACAAAATAAGTGGGAACATTTTTGCTCCTAAGAAAATTTGACTGAGCAGAATTTAGGAATGATAAACTATATATATGAACCTATAATAACAAAAATATGTCTTGGAAATTCCTTTTTTTTATTTTTATCGCTCTGTCTTTTGTCTTGTCAAAATGAATGTATTAAACATTCATTGCAAACAGAACGAGTGTAGAAATAATGTGCTTCGTTTATTTGAGGGATGCTTTTAAAGGATGAGCCATTTGATCTTGGGGGTGTTAGCTTAAAAGATTGGGTATTCCTGACTTTTTCACTTAAATCCAATATGATGTTTTGATTTTGTAACATAAATTTGAGTTTGTCGTCCAACACCACATAAAGTTTCATCATTATTTTTTCAACCACCTCACTAGATCATTATATGTATTTATGCTCTACAGATGTATGGTCAAGATAACGGGCGATATGATGATGTCCTTCCCGGCCGGTATTATCCAAGTATTGACGAGTAACCCATCACCAGCAGTCTTATCGTTTAGGATAAAGAATGCAAATAAATTGGAGCAAATATTACCAAACAAACAATTAGTATCTTTGTAAGTAATTTTGTCCTTCATGTTGACTATTTGTCATCTTTAACAAGTAACTTGCATAATTTTGTTTGCATATTTAATTTGCCCGCCAGCAAAAACAGCTAGAATTTAGAATTCCGTAAAATTATTCATCCATGTTTGTTTTCAAACGTTATTTTTGATTTTCCCTCCATCACAGCTTTACCAAGGTTATTGAAGTCACATTCAACACTTTTTCAACGATCGATACAATTGCCATACTGTCCTTGCACTTACTTTGGCTATTAGTGATAAAATCATACTATTTTATTTTCGCAGGTATATTTTAACCTTTGACCCTAGACCTCCGACCTTATAATAGGTGATTTTCCTGTTCAACTGTCGCATCTCGCGAGTTGCTGATCTTTGACGGGGAATATTGCTTTTGAATACCCTTATATCATCGAAATTGACCATCATCAAATGTGTGCAGTACATTATTAGGCATGGAAATATCCCCCAAAATACGTTTCATGTTTGTCGAATCCAATGAGAATTTTGACGCCACTACAACGCTATGACCTTTGTTTGTTCTGTTTTTACGTTCGATTTCACGCATAATGCAGGATCTCCCAGTGAACGGAAAATGCTCTATCAATTTTGTTTATATTTCTTGTGTTCTCTTTGATACAGAGACGAATCATTAACGGTGGATGGTAGTCAAGTTTATGTATTCAACATGTCAGCTTTAGCATCGCTATTAAAAAGACAATCGGATTCTAATATAACCGCATCGTATTTTAATGTAGATATTCTAAAATACCAAGTAAGTGTCAATACCAGTCCACTGTTCCTTGTATTTTTTGGAAATTGTACTGTGGAAATTAGAACTGTAATAATTTTTTTGTTGTAGCACCTTCAACATCACGTGTTGGAATATTTTTTTTTGTTAGTCCATGTTCGTACTGGCAGCCAATTTTGTGTGTGTTGGCCGATTTACTTCAAACTTTATTTTTCAGATCCAATTTAAAAATGGCCGACTGGTGGCCATTTTGTTTCAATGAATGCAGTTCTAGTGCCATATCTTTACCATGCTTTGACTGGTTATGATCAAATTTTATATATTCATTATACATCATGACATAGATATATTGGTTTGACTATCTGATTTAAAATGACCAAATGGCAGCCATTTTAGTGCTAAAAAATCTTCAAAAATCAAGCATTTCTGGCATTCCAACACTGGATCTTGTGTTTTTGGATGGATTATTTTTCAAACTTGGTACATACTGTAAAATGACTAATTTTTACTGGGTTTAAATTTTGCTGATTTACCATTTCAGGCATATTCAGTGGGTTTTAAATTCACAGTTTCATCATTAAGATAATGTGTTCTATGCTAAATTTTACATATTCACTGGGTTTTAATTTGGCGCATTTCCCAGTCAGCAAAATAGGCAAAATTAAAACCCAGTGAATAATTAATCCTTTTACAGTACGTTGGACATTATGGGACCTTGATGCACATGATTATGATTCAAAATGGCTGACTGGCGGCCATTTTGTTCAAATCAATGTGCTTCTAGAGCCATATCTCTGATATGCTTTGACTTTGCCATGCCATGCATGGCTTGTTTATTTATAAATTTATGTATCTATGCATTTATTTATTAATTTGTATTGAAATTATTAATTCAGAAACATGTAAATTTTCTTTCTGTTAGAATAAACTACTATTAAAAAAAAACATTGTCAGATTTGCACAGTTTCATTAAACGGGCCTACCATGGCCATCCTTATGAACCCATACATGATTGTGCTAGGAAAAGCCACACTCCAAACACTGGTGGCACCCTCACTTCCATTCCTCACCACATTTTGTTCAAACAAAGATTATATGCGTATAACCTTTATGACTTTTTACGGAATAAATACAGTGATGTTCATAAATATGACATCATGCAACAGAAAGTGTCTATAGTTGTGTATACATGTCACTTTTGTACGAGATCTATTTTTCAAAGTGGAAGTACATTCATGTTTTCATGTGTGATGTTTGACTAAAGGAAACCTTCTTTCCCAAGTCAAAGTCTGTTTTATTTTATCAAAACTACTTACACTAGTCTTGCAAAATTGCGAGATTTAAATGAAGGGGAAAATGTGTTTGTATACAAGAGCGAAAAAAAAAACTATTTCAAAATTACTGCGTGACTTGAAGAGAATTTGAGCGTCTTTGATTACGTTCTATAGAACATACGCAAATTACGGTGTGGCAGTGGTGCGCCAGTGTGAGGAAAAGCTGTACTTAACCTTGGTAAAATTGAATAATTTGAACCAGATTCCTCAATCAAAAAAACAACAAGTTGCATTAATTTTAAATTTAAAGCAATAGATTTCTTATACCACGACTTAGCTCCACTGACAAAGCCAAGCTACTTTGCGTTCAATTTACCATGGAAACACATCACAACATGCAAATTTGTGTTCCATTTACCATGGAAACACATCACAACATGCAAATTTGTGTTCCATTTACCATGGAAATGCATCAGAACACACGCTGTTGTGTTTGATCTTATTGGACAGTGTATACAGATTTATAGTGGGAATTCTTCCAAGGTATAACTTTGAGGCAAGGGCTGAATGAATTGACCTTGACTAGCGAAGATGATATTAAAAGTAATCTCCAAGTAACACTAGGGTTGTATTTTGTAATATCAATATACATGTCAAATTATATTGATAATACCAAGTTGCAATTACTTGTAGTATATACTCGCCACTCTGTACCAGGAAAGATTTACATTTGATGTTTTCTCACAGGTTAAAGCATTACCAGGAGTGGGATCTACTCCATTACAGTTATGTACCTATTGGAAATGTGAACCAACAGTAACTGAACTTAGAATAGATTATAGATATAATTCATCATCAATGTCAAAGCCAATGACATTATCTGCTGTGCAATTCATAGTACCAGTAGATGGAGGAGTCACTGTTATGCAGTCTAAACCGCCAGCAACTTGGTAAGTGTTGTCTTAGGACTGTCCATATATGGCATTTAATTTGCATATAACTTAGTCAGTAATGTGTAGTTGTGGGTCAAGCAGTATGGTAAATGTTGTTTTATGACTGTCCATATATGGGATGTAATTTGCATATAATTTAGTATGCAAAGTGAGTTATGAAGCAGATACAACTGTGATTGTTGCTTCAATTTATCACTTTTTGCATAAATGAAATATTCTGACATCTGGTGTAGACATGGAATTGTAACATGTAAGGTGCCATGATTTGTCTGTCAACATTCTGTCATGTTTTTTAGCTCTGGTGTCGACTTTTTACTTATTCAAATTCTTCTTGAAAACTACAATTGTTATTGCTTTGTTACTTGGTGTATATGTAGTTTGGGCAGATCTCGCTTAGATTTGTTCATTTCGTGGTGATATATTCAATTCTCTAATTTTGGTGAATATTTTTGTAATTTTTGAAAAAAAGTGATATTTTCGACTTCTTGTTAAAAACCACAATCCAATTGCTTTAATATTATACATATAGGTACTACAAGTAGTTCTTTCTCAGATTTGTTCATTTCGTGATGATATCTTCAATTCTCTAATTTTGATGAATATTTTTGTTATTCCTATTTTCGACTTATTGTTAAAAAACACAAATCTGATTGCTTTGATGTTTTACATGTAAGTACCTCAGATAGACCTTTTTCAGATTTGTTTATTTTCTAATGATATCTTCAGTGCTTGTTTATTTTATGTAATTTGCATAATTTCTTGATTTACTTTCATTGAGATATACCGGTAAGTTCCTCATTCCAATGCATTGCGACATGTCTTCATCACACGTAGCGTTTCTCTCCGCAGGTCAGCTGATAGTAAAAGAGCCTTGTGGAAACTCAGTGACATCACTCCGACCACTGAGGGTGCCAGCTCACTACGTGCTAAATTTGACCTATCAGAAGGCCCCAGTAAGCCAGCAACTGTAGCGGTACAGTTTCAAAGCGAAGGCACAACTCTGTCTTTTATAGAAATTGAACTAGTGGGAACATCCTATCGGTTATCCCTTACCAAAAAGAGATTTTCCACTGGTAAGTATTTCGTCTCCTGATCCGCCAAGAGACGTTAGATGAAATGGAAGATTAGGGATTTAGAAGTCTTTTTATTGCCATTCTGATTAATTTATTCTTGACATTTTCGACAAATTTAATTCTATTGATGTGATGTTTTGATCTGTCGGCCATGTTGGATTTGAGATTTATGGATTGTGGTGACTGTAAAATGATATTTTGTGAAGTTGATTTGAATCCAAAATGGCGGACTAGACTAAAAGTTAATTCTTGATCATAAAGCACCAAATCCAAGGACCTAAGGTAACAAATCCAAAATGGCTGACTGGACATAAGTAAAATCTGATGCCAAATTCAAAATGGCTTACAGAGCCAGAGGTGAAATAAGGATCATATGGTACCAAATCCAAAATGGCTGACTGGACAAAATTTAAATCTGATGCCAAATCCAAAATGGCTTACAAAGCCAAAGGTAAAAACAGGATCATAAGGTACCAAATCCAAAATGGCAGACTGGACAGAAGTCAAATCTGATGCCAAATCCAAAATGGCTTACAAAGCCAAAGGTAAAAACAGGATCATAAGGTACCAAATCCAAAATGGCAGACTGGACAGAAGTCAAATCTGATGCCAAATCCAAAATGTCTCATGATGAATGGCAATAAAAAGAGGTTTGACCACTTACAACTACATCTTACCTAAATGTTTGAGTGTCAATTACCTTTTATTTTGTTACCCAATCAGGAAACAAATCTGAACACATTGCTCTATTGATACCATATTTCACAACCACACACAATTAAAAAAAAAAATATGAGTAAAAATAACTAACTACAAACTAAGATTTAAGTTGTAAGCATGTTTGAACAAGAATCTGTCGCATTGGAGGATAGAATGAAATAATAAAAATATTGGTATGGAAGCATTCCGAATAACAACAGTGCACCTACACTGAACCAACACTAATTCTAGTATTACTAGTCGTTGCTACACCACAACAGTGCTGTGTTTGTCGTTGTTGTTGTCGTTGTTGTTGTTGTCGTTGTGCTTTTCGCTATACTTTGCTTTCCATGCTATAATTTTATTTTTATTATTTATCAATTCTGTTCTCTGTAAGCTGCAAGATGACAGACTTCCTCTTTTCCCATCTCTTCCTCTTCTTCTCTAGGGAAGTACTTGTCAGACAGCTAGTCATAAAAGGGACGACTGCAGCCAAGCATCCATTTTCCTCTCTCTCGAAATGTCAATTGGCATCATCTGTCTGCACAGCCCCCTCTATATCTTCAAGGCATACGAACTTTAGATCACCTCGGGTATCCTTAGCCTTCTTTAAAATTGAAACGTAAAATAAAAAAAAAAAATTTCACGCAGCGGGTACTGTGTGTTTCAGTGTAATATAGGAACATTGCTGCTAGCTGGCAATCTGTGATTGACGAGATGTGTAGTTCTTATTGCGGTGATTACTCTTTGCAATTAACCGTAGGGTGTATACTTTGCATGTCGGTAGAATGGGAGGACATTACTCATGTACAAGTCTGACACTCCTGAAATTGAATGGAATATCCCATTACTGCTGTGCTATTGTTCTAAGCTGATGGAACTCTCCATTGTGCAATGGGGGTGTAGTATTTTATTTTTTTTTAAGAATGTAAATTTCAGCACATACTTGGTTGACTCTTCCTTTTCTTTGCACACCATTTCTCTTTAATGCTGTGCCTTTTATGTTGAGTCTTCTTACTATGTGAATTTTATAAATCAACATATGTATTTAAATTTCCCTGTAAAAAAAAAAAATCTTTCTCATACAAATGAATATTAATTAACTTTTGTAAAACATGTAACAGTTTAATGGACAGATTTGGTTAAAGGTAGTGCTGGTAATTCTATTTTAGAAACTGGTTTGTAATGATTTATAGTTTTCTAGTGCTATACTGTGCATATCAAGGAATCAAAATTTAGTAAGTCTTTCTATTACTCGGTGCACAATAGCGCCCTCATGTGGCCAAGTAGTGTACTGTAAAATACTTTATTTTAACTGGAATTTATTTCGGCAGTTTTGTATGAAGTTTGTTTTGCACTGATTTCTGATGAGTTGAATGTAAAATACAGAAAAAGAAGATTTTTGCACTGGATTTTCTTTTCACTGATCATTCCTTAAGGGAAAATAGTGAAAATAAATTCCAAGTGAAAATAAAGAACTTTACAGTATTGCCCCAAAAAAATGTCTTCTATAATTGACTAGCTCTCCCTAATGAGCCGCACATCATGTCATGTTTCATTATTTGTACTTAAATACATTCTGGATAATATTGAGTCGTCTCCATTGTATGTAAGCATTGTCATGGTTACTTCATCATATTAATAATTTCTGATTCATTGATGCACAGTATGGTGTTATCCTTGTTGCTTTTAGTCTTCGTTTATATTATTAGATTACCAATCATATTTTCTCCATTGGAGGCATATACAGTATTAAATTATTAATTAGTGCATGCTTCATAAGAGACAGTACAACTCTAAGGGCTTACATACTTAGTGGCTTAATACACTGTTAACAGGAGTTCAGTGATAATGTGCTGAATATACTGCCTGTGACTAACTGCAGACAACTTTATAATTGTCAAATTTAATAGCAAGGAAAATGTCTCCGGGGTTTTGGTCCTGAAATATTTTTTAAAAAAAATACTTTTGTCACAGAACGTTCTATGTTGCTAAGACGCGCACCACTCTACCATGTATTTCTACGGGCTGTGTGCAACTGGCCGTGGAACGCCGTTCAAAGAGCCGGTGAAAACAGCTAAAGTCAAGGAAACTGCACAAACTCAACTTTGAAGTAATTCTGTATGGGTAATCTTGTCACACTGTTCAGGAGAATCCCGAAACGTATCCCAAAGTACAATTTTTGGAGAATTTTTAGGTTTTTCTTTTCATCATAATGGTTGCTAGGCAGTCAAAATGCCCGGATGTTCACTCCCAAATATAGCCTATCATGTAAAATTTTGATTCCTCCAAATCAGGTGACTGTTACATCGTTTATTAAATAAATAAGTAATTATATTTGAGTATAGAATTGATAAAATTATATAATTTGCCAAGAGCGTAGTTTTGTATATTAAGTTGTCTTTCCTTGCATATTTGAATCTCAGCAGCCTACTAGCTGAGGTGTATATTTCAGAAATAACTATACAATATAAAATTAGTCTTTAAAGTTGCACTCTGAAGGTTTCCACAAAGCTTTTTTGTGCTTTTTGGATGATAATGTGAAATATTTAAAGGTTGGAATTTGTGTGAGGTATACTGAACATCCAATTTCCGTTCCATTATTTGATAGTACTTTTTATAGTATTATAATGTTCTTAGATTCGCAAACTGTTCCTAATTACTTAAGACAGCAGTAATTTAGAATAGTGGTAAATTTTCAAATCATTCTCATATTCCCCACATATTCATACCATCAAATACTATATTTACCTTTCTCAGAGGGCAACTTTAATTAAGTTCAATATTTTTTCACAAATTATAAACAAGAGAAATGTTTTATTGTATTATTATTCATCAAAAATAAATAAAATCTTTTTAGATGATTGAAAAGAATTTTACTATGTGAAGTCATACTTACTTTACAACCAATC